GCATCGAGGATGAGCAGGATCTGGTGCCCCTGGAGGTGACAGGTCAGTTGGGGATGGGGGAAAGGCTGGGAGTGGGAGGAGCTAAGCTGGAGACTCATGCCCACCCCCCCCACCCCACCCCCGCGCATGTTCCTACTACCTCTTGGAAACTAGACCTTGAACAGGGGTCAGAAAGAGTAGGGGCAAGGCTAGATCCAAGAGTGGGAGGGGCTAAGTCAGAGAGCCTGAATGGGGGTCAGTCGGGGCAGGGCTAGGGTAGGAAGTGGGTGGGGGGCCTTGCCCACCAGGAACCTCTTAGAAACCAGGCCCTGGACCGGTGATCCCTTTGATTCCCCTGCTGGAGCCACAAAGATCCCCATGGTCACTAACCTGCCTGTAACACCGCTCTCTTAGCTAAGAGAACCGCTTCCAGCTTAGTCTCCCATGAGCTACAGTATCTCGGAAGGATTTCTTCCCTTTGTTTTATGTCCATTTGATGAGTACCTAACTTTTCATAGCATCTGTGGCTCTGTTGCCCAATGAAGGCGACCCAGGTACCATTCCCAGACACTGCATCTCACGAGCAGCTGGACCACCCATCTGTCAACAGAGGCTTGTTATCCGCTGTGATGCCGACCAGGTTCCAGCGGACCTCCCGGACTAAGACAGTAGGAAGCAAAGCCGGGTGACTGACTTCTGACAATCAGCACCTGAAAACCCTGGTTTTCACAATGGTCTGACTGGCAACCAACATAGAGATGGTGCGGGCCAGACAGGCCAGAGTGCAACCGGCCCCGTGGTTTCTGAGTCTGTAAATCTTTACAGAAGCAGAAAGCCTCATCGTTCTCCTAGCAGAGCAGCGTTTTGGTCTGTGGAGCATGGGGTCACCAGCAGTCAGGGGTGCAGGCAGCTGACAGGAGCTTTGCAAAGGCACAGGAGATTGGCATTCTATTTAAAATAAGAATATGAAAGACCCTTTAAAATACATTTATTTACCTTTTTAAAAAGCAAGGCTCTTTTTTAACCAGCAAGCCGATTAAAGAGATATATTAGGTAAATAACAGTCCTTTAATACCTGTTTAACTACGTCCTTATATTAAATTCTCTCTGTTGAAATGGCTGATGTGGTTTCTGTTTTCCTAACCGATCAAGGTGAGCATGGCAACAACAAAAAAAAAAGTGATTCAAGCAAAGCCTTAGAACAGTGATTCTCAACCTTCTGAATGCCTCAACCCTTTCATACAGTTCCTCATGCGGTGGTGACCCCAACCATAACATTATTTTCGTTGCTACTTCATCACTGTCATTTTGCTACTGTTATGAATTGGGTGACCCCTGTGAAAGGGTCGTTCGGCCCCCAAAGGGGTCACGACCCACAGGTTAAGAACCACTGCCCTAGAACAAGGCCTGGCTCACAGCACAAAAAAAACCCTCCAAGCTCCCTGCTACAGGGTCCACTTGGATTCCTAGAAACCTTAAGGGCAGAGCAGAACCCCCCTGTGGTTCTGAGTCTGTAAATCTGCACAGAAGCAGAAAGCCTCATCTTTCTCCTAGCAGAACAGCTGGTGGGTTTGAACTTCTGACCTTGTGATTAGTGGCCCAACATGTAACTCACCAAGGCTCCTTCGGCTTGCACTTGAAGAAAAAAAACACCTCTCACTGCCATTGAGTCAATACTGACTCCTAGTGACCCTGAAGGACAGGGTAGAACCATCCTTCACCCGAGGAGCTACTAATGGTTTTGAACTACAGGTCCTGGGATCGCAACAATGTATACCTACTACGCCTTTAAGTCCCCAATAGATAAGCAGTAGATACATCTTTAATGAATGACACAGCGAATGGGTTGTTGTGTGGCCTCCTTTGAGGAAGCCGACTTCCCTGAAGCTGTTGTGTGGCCTTGGGTAAGTCTTTGCATCCACCCCCCACCCCCGGGATCAATGTCCTCCCTCCATCTGTGAACCAGGGATGGTGAGACCACACGATGTCCCCCTGCATATTTGATGAGCTTCATCTGCCAGCCCCCTTCCCAGGCCTCATTTCTCAAAATTGATAGACCTCCCAGAAAATGGACTAGTGGCAGAGGCAGTGACCTCCACGTGGAAGTTGCTTCCTCCTTCCTTCAGCAAAACTGTTTGCACTTGGTGACTGACCCAAAGGTGGTTGTTTGAACCCACTCCATGGTACTGTGGAAGAACGGTCTGGAAACCTGCTTCCATCAAGATACCAGCCAAGAAGACCCCCTGGGGATGTTCCACTCTGCACACACGGAGTCACTATGTAGATGGCAACAGGTTTTCCATGATCATTGTTGTTACTAGTTTCCTCATCTGAATAACAGGGGCTGATCAGCCTTGTCCTCATCATCATCCTCGCTCACCACGTGTCTGCCAGTTTGTCATACTGTGATGGCCCGTGAGTTGCTGTGATTCTGGGAGTGACACCATGGTATTTCAGCCGTGCAAAGAGGAAGGCCCTCCAGGAGACGGTGGACACAGTGGCTGCAGCAATGGGATCAAGCATGGGGCGGTGCAAGCCTGGGCAGTGTTTCGTTCTGGGGTGCACAGGGCAGCACCTAACAACGGCAGCAGCAATCATCTTAGTACTGTGCCAGATGCTGCGTGGATGACTGGGGCAGGGCACACAGGAAGGCAGCGGGTTTATTTATGCCATCAGATTAGGGGGCAACACTCAGCAAAGGAGGAGGCCTGTTACTGAAGGTGCCAACAAATGTTCCCCCATCCTGTTGGCCCCCTTGCAGGCGTGGTGTTCCACTATCGGGCAGCCCGGGACCGCTATGCACTGACCTTTGCTGAAGCCCAGGAGGCCTGCCATCTCAGCTCCGCCACCATCGCAGCCCCGAGACATCTGCAAGCTGCCTTTGAGGATGGCTTTGACAACTGTGATGCTGGCTGGCTCTCTGACCATACTGTTCGGTGAGAAGAGACACAAGGCGGGATGGTGGGAGGCTAACCCCTGGGGAAAGAGGGTCCTTAGAGCAGTGGTTCTCAACCTGTGGATCGCGACCGCTTTGGGGGTCAAATGACCCTTTCACAGGAATCGCTTAAAACATCCTGCCTATCAGATATTTACATGACGATTCATAACAGTAGCAAAATGACAGTGATGAAGTAGCAACAAAAATAATTTTATGGTTGGGGACACCACAACATGAGGAACTGTGTTAAAGAACCACTGCCTTAGAGGCTCCGGCAACACATCAGAAAGGGATTTCCCCTTGTCTTGTCAGGTACCCTATCACCCAGTCCCGTCCTGGTTGCTATGGTGACCGCAGCAGCCTTCCAGGAGTGCGGAGCTATGGACGCAGGGACCCACAGGAACTCTATGATGTATATTGCTTTGCCCGTGAGCTGGGGGGTAAGTCTGGATCACCCATTGCACTTCTGAGCTCCTGTTATACGCCCCGCCCCGCCCCCCATCCTATCTCCTTGAGTACCCATCTTTCCTGAGTTTCACCCTTCCCCAAACCTTAGCTCTAAGATCCAAGCTCTTCTCTCTGAGCCCCCTCAGCCTCTTTGAGCGTTCTATCCCTTACTACCTCATCTTCAAAAGAGGCTCAACTCCACTCCCTGCTGTTGAGTGGATCCTGAGTGGGTGACCCTCCAGGGCAGGGTAGAACTGCCCTTTTGGTTTTCTGGAGCTATACATCTTTATAGGCGCAGACAGTCTCATCTCCTCCCACAGAGCAACTGATGGAGTTCGAACTACTGCCCTTGTGGTGAACAGCTCAATACGTAGCTAGCTATGCCACCGGGTCTCCTTGAAAAGCGGCTTAAGCTCCTTCTTTAAGTTCTGCGAACGAAAGCTAGGATGCTCTAGCACGCTGGCCACACACAGCAGCAGTATCGCGGCCTGGTTAAACACGGGCCCCAACCCGGCCAGATCAGGGCTATTTGAACTGGGCTGGGACCCC